CTTGTTCTACATATGGTCTTCTTGCCCGAATTTCGCGTTTGCAAAGCCTGTAACGAACTGTCTGGGCGGAAATTCTCCGTAAAACCTAGGATACCAGCAGCAGTGATTATAGCAGTGACTGTTCGATTACGTAGTTTAAATAACCGAATTTATCGATCTTGAGATGAAGAAGTGATGTATGGCCTACCACATTAGGTAGATCTTGATATGACGCAGGTTGATTAAACCTCTGTCAAACGCGTAAAGTTTGCTCTGGTGAATGCCTGAAGACGTCCGATGACGTTGTTACGTGTAGCAGTGTCCAATCTTGGCACAGCGGCATTTCACAGTACCATTGACAAGTGCCTGTTTAATCCCCTTGCTGCCGTTAATTTCATATGGTTGCATTTCTTGTGCCAGAAAATACGACAACTGGACGTTTGTAACGTCAAATGCCCAACAATGACGTCATTTGATATAACGTCACACCCTAATGACCGTTACATAGTGGACCTATTGAAGAAAAATATTACACGGTTTAAATCTTCGGTATTTTATTTAAAAGAGATAGAGCAATGATTAGAAACTGGAACATATTGACATGTGTCCCTCCGGCAGCAAGAGGGTTAACACCCAATTTTTAACACAATAGTGTCACGGGTGATTTCACCACTAGAATCACGTGGAAATATGAATAATTTTTTCTGCACGGTAAGTGCAACGTTCATTTTCAACGGTATTTTGTATTTTTTATTCACACCACTGATAACTCATTGTTACATTCATTTAATAATGGTCAACTTTATTTTAGAAATAAATCGAACATACGTGTTTCTTTTTTTGCATAGTATATATTCCAACGTTACGTCACAAGCGAAAACATCATGATATCTTGAATATGAAACATATCCAAAATAAGAGTCCAATGATATGTGTATCGTCAGATCATATGTTTTCGTACGTCATATGCATTCGTACTATGCATGCTTTTTCAAAGGAAATTGTGACGCCACAATGCATTCTAAATAGCACGAAAACCCATAATATGAGGATAAATTCCGCTTAGGATAAAACAAACAAGTAATCAAAGCTATCAGGCTTATAAAGTTATCATCGTTGACATTTTTGAATATGAGGTAGGTGTGATATGATAATGACACCCCATAACGGAATAAATCGGCAATTTGTACATTTTCCCTTTGATATAACTGCCTAATATTTTTTATATCATGGACAGGACTTGATACTCGAAAGTATTAGGCAATGACGTCATGTATCAGGGCAGCAACGTCACGTATTCATGTCCATCTGCGTCAATTTATCGATGAAATCCACGCGACTTCATTCATACCATTTAACAACTATCACAACGTTTTGTACGCGTAAAAATGGTTTTACTAACTATTTGATTTTATTTCATATTCTCAACAAAAAAATAAAACCATACAGTTGAGACAAATTGCATATAAAAAAAAACAATGGCATTTTATTTTTTGATACTGACTTCGTCATCGTGAATATCAGCTCACCCTAGCTGACTCGCTTGATATGCATGCTCATAAAGTAAGTAGTATGAAAAAAAAAATGCCATTATTCTATATATATCAAACTGAGAACCATCTAAAATATAATACTGCTGTGATAAAGGTCAAATTCCAAGTTTATTGTAGTTCGATGTTTATTGTATATACATTCGAATAATATATCATTAGGCCTATATATGAACTATTCAAATATTCACGTCACCTTCACTTCATCATTATGGAGTAATTTTATTTTGGGTTTAAGTAAGTTTGATTTGCAGGAGATTTAATATTATTACGTTCATTCATTCATTTCTCAAAATAGAAACTTTTCAAAGCATACGTTCAACGGATAACGTAACTTTTATATCATTGTGCAGTGATCAAGGGGAACTTTTGTATTAATTATATGATAAACATCAACAAACTTCAACCACTGAATTAAATGCTCCTGACTTGGGCAAACCCTTCCCTAACCTGCGACAGTGCCAGTGGTGTAACAACTTAAGAACTAGCTATAAAAAATCAGTTGAAAAAGTCTCAAATTACAGATCTGGGAGTACTCGCAGTTACTGAAAGATAGTTCCATTCTTTTGATGTGTTTAAGCTTTTGATTTTGCCATTTGATGAAGGACTTTCCGTTTTGAACTTTCCTTAGGGTTCGGTATTTTTGTTATTTTACTTTGTACTGAAAGCAAGTTTAAATCCAATAACAACTAACAAACAAATCATTTATATAAGACTAAAATATTAATCAGTACACATCCAACTTCTAATGGATTTAGAGTAGAGACGTCATTAACAGTCAGAGAGAAAAATGTCCTTGTGCAATGCCAAAATATAGGTATCGACAGATTGTGAGACCGTGAATGTGTATAACAATTATATTCAGTTGTGTTTTAATTTATTGATAACAAAATCAATATCAAATGATCTAATTACAGTGTTGAATTGGTAACCTTTTAGAATCAGTTCATTTCAAGGATCGATAGTTTACGCGGATCGTATCTAATTTTACAGGCTCGGTAAACAACATCACCGTAAACATTACAATGTGCTATCACGTTTTTAATAAGTTTTCTACAGGTACAGCCAAACTTCCAAACTAAATCTTTATATCTATGAAAGAACTTAATAAAGGTTTAAGTTAATTTGTGATAACGAAATCCTTGACCTTATAAATAACCAGTAATAAATATAATTCTTTTTTATTGTTGTTGCATACTGCTATGATAATTATCTATAATAGTCTAATGTTTTGCCTAAAACAATGTCCATTGTACACCTGGGGGTAGAAATCATTAATTTACAGAAAATCTTCCAAGCACTATCGTGTTTAATACTGTACTTTGATACACTCGGGACGAAACGTCAATCAACAGTTGTACCGAACCATGCAGTAGTAAAAAGTGATCAAAGATACCAGGCTTACTATTTAGGTAAATCGTCTACATAAGACTCATCAGTGGTGTTCGAAACAAAACATTATCAAAGTCAGATCAATTACGAAGTTGAAAAAGCATTAAAATCAATTACGAATTTGAAGAGCATTCCAAACCTTAAATTCCAAAACGGTGTGTCAAATCTAGCTTAGGTCATCTACGCCTGGGTAAAGAAAAACCAAATTGTTTAGAAAGATTGCAACACTTTATGAACAGTCAATGTGTAGATAGTGGCTGCATCAATAATATTTCATGTCAACATTGCTGTATTGGCTACTGGACTAGTCAGTCCAACGTTGACGAAACATCCACCAGTCTTGGTATAAACCTTGTTAAAATAATTGATAGTTATGTCCATACATATCACGAATTGGATTAAAAATCCAAGTAAAGAATTTGAATTATTTCTTCAATATTGCCTGGAGTATAATGTTTGAACCGTTAACATGTGAAATGGAAATAGAAATTCAAACTTGATCTACATTTTATGAATATCAACATTCCTAAATATCTTTTCTTGTCTTATTGACTGAATACAAATTGTTATCCCCATAAACCATTTAAGAGATAACTGTATTGTATTTGAAGCTTTGCGGACGTCCATCGGTAGTTTTACTGTCGCAAATTTAGTTTACCTGGCGACGCGTAGCGGAGACATTTAAACGGGTATTTGCGACAGTAAAACTACCGATGGACGTCCGCAAAGCTTCAAATACAATACAGTTATCTCTATTCTAATGCAAAACAAGTACATAATTCAATTTCAATCATTATTTCAGTGTAAAATTCCACGAAAAGATATTCTTTGGCCCCTAAACTAGGTGACGTCATAGGTATGCTTCCGGCGTCAAACGTAAACACCGGGCGTTTTCTGGCTTCTTTGCCGCTTCAAAATGTAATTGAATTTGATAAAAAGATGATTTCTAAGTGCAACATTTGAGTTTTTTTGCTTATTATTGTAAAAATTGCATGTCAATACATTCAAAATGTCGGCTTCCTTAGTTACAGACGGGGACATAGAGAATTTTACGCTTAGTGTCATCCAATCAGAACCATTGATACAAAAGAATTGCATTAGAATTACCTTTTGCCTCTCCCTTATGCAATGGACAAAGCGCTTTAATGTAAGAAAACAATTTTATTTATTCTGATAACGAAAAAAAGATCAACATATTCTTTCAATGAACATTTCTTTATATTTTCAATTAAATGAATTTTTTCATAGCAATGCACACATTGGAAACAATGAAAGCTCTGATTTCGTATGATAGTCTGGGCGGATTTGTTCGTCGTTCGTCTCTTACTCGTTATGCTAATAATCATAAATCAAATTTACACGATTCAAACACTATATATACTCCACGCAATATTAAAAAAATAATTTTGAAAAATAAAAGGGGCGACTTACATTTGCGTGAATTTTGACAGGTATTACGTTTGCGCGAATAACCTGAACTTTATGGATTTTTTTGTCAAAAATTGATGATATTGATAAATAATTTATAATAAACAGAGAAGTCTTTGTTCGTTTAAATAATCATCAAACAGCACTACATTTATTTCAAGCAAAGTCTTTAATAAAATTCAGTGTGTATTTCCTGGAAAGCATAATTGTAAGTATGTTAACCATATTCTGAAATAAAACACAGTACGTAATATCGACAGGAACAATCTATAAGTCAGTTCTTGCTGTGAAAAGACTCTAGCCTATTGTTGGTACGTTTTGTGCTTTCATTTGGAACAGCTGATTTCTTGGCGGAACAATATACTCACAGGTGACGTAATTACCATCTAAGATGTTGGCAAATCTCCTTATTTTTATAAGACTTAAAAAATAACGTGTATAACGTATAACTATCATTTCATGTAGTTATTAAATCAGTATCTGTCCTGATACAGTTTAATTATTTGTTCGAATGCTGTAATTGAGTAGAACTAAATATTTCCGTTTTTCATTATTTTATTTAGATTTATCTGGTATATTTATAAATTAATATTTTCAGAAAATACTTTATTGCATAAGATAAAATTAAACGACAAAACGGTTGACCTGGATATCTGAAAAGGAAGTAAACGAGCCAGGTGAAAAAAGAGATATAATATTCCTTTAAAACCGACGTATTTATTGTTTTTATAATTCCATACATAAGTGCATTTCAGGACTTTCATTTGCTATTTCCTCAAATTGGATTAACATATCTGTGTCGGTAATAAAGACAACAAACATAGCAACAATTTTAAATACATGAAGACAAGGACGATTGAACCAGGTCAGTTTAAATTTGAAAAATAAGAAAAGGCACAAGAAGTCCTACATTAAAAAACTACTTGTCTTAAAAACTTTAGAATCGGCATGCTTAGAATCCTAATAAATAAATAAAGGTGGGGAATTTTACATCTGAGAGCTTCGATATTTCCAAACATTTTAATATCTTTTTAATTATTTGTCATTCAATTCAAACTTTAACATACTCCTTGTTAGACCTTGTCACCATGCCAAGAAATCCTCGCTCAAAACTCCGGTAGACCTCCTACGGCATCCATTAGTAGTTAAAGATTTGATTTCATTCAACAAATTAATTTATGACCTGCAAGTACGTATCGCATAGAACACAGCCATACACCAAATGGTTAATATTAATCAACCGTGTAATTTGCTCTATGGGATATTTGCAAAATTTCAACGGAGGCAATTTCTTGGCATGGGAGAAAGGAAGAAAGACATTCACAACTTGTCTAACATTTTTTGATTTCTCTTTTTATTTAATAAACCAAAGATTAAAGCTTTCAAATGCAGAGTTCATAAGATAAATATTCCCCGTGGAACAACCTACCCCCTTTTTTTCGCGCTCTCCATTTTCAAATCTCGAATTAAGCTTTCCAATCTAATTAAAATTAAAACCTTGCTTTCTAACCGATCTATTCATGTACATGCAGGACCGGCAACTCTCTTTATTTAAAAAGAAAATGTATTGTGCCGTTATACACATGCATGTTGTCTACTTGAAGTACCCTCCCAAAAAGAAAGAAATAGCCCAACTCCAAGATAATATATTCCTGCATCACGTGATTTTTACCACGTGGAGCTTACATTAGAATAAATACCGAATATGGAAAGTGAAACTACAATTCAAAACTAAAAGTCCTGAGGCACATAGAAGAAAAAGGGGTTGTTTTTTTTTTTGGCAAAGGGTGCCGGGGTAACCCTCTCTGTGTCCAAAATATCCATGAAATATTTGCCACTGCACCTTGTCTGTTCTATGAATTCTAACCCTGATTTTTCTATCTGTTACGGTGCATATTTGACATCTATAAAAAGTTCATAAGAAGATCTTTCAAAATTATCTCTAGGTTTTAAATACTTTATACACTAAACTCATTCTGGACCATGTGTTGTATATTGTTTTTATATAGAATAAGATGTTGTTTGATTGCCCATCAGACAACTATCCACCATGAACCAAATGACGTAGATGTTAGCAACTGTAGCTCACTTTGCGTCATTCAACAATGAGCAAAATCCATACCGTACAGCAAGCTATACAAGGCCCCATCATCTTATAATGAATGAAAAATTCTGAAATTGACCTACATTCTAGCAAAACTGTTTTCAGTCAGAATTATATCTTATATTGCACCCCACCGACAGTATTTAACACTTTAATAAGATACCGATAAAAAATCTATCAGAGGCTGTAACTTAATGCGGTCATTAAAAAAACCCAAAGCAACATTTATTTTGGTGGAGATGGAGAAGATAGACCTACATTTTAACTCAATGGGTGATAAATAAACATAAGGGAAACCGTTCCTCAGGTAACTCGGATTTTTAAATGTTCGACGATAGATTTTTCTTAAACTTTTGTGAAAGGCTTTTGGGTCAATGTACTTTCAAATTTCAACATGAAAACTGGGGGTCACGGACCTTGTTTTTTTTCGCTAAAATACATTGAAATTAACGAAATCACAGTTGTTTTATATGGGTTTAATAGGGAAAACTTATTTTTTCCGTATTGATTAAACATTAAACCATAGAATTGGTTAAAATTCAACGAGAAAATTGCTTTTCATAAATACTTACTAAATATAAAATAAAGATGTCACGAGCCTTATTTTTCTCGAAAATCCCTTAAAAAACAAATTGACCTATCAAATTCAATATAATTATCTGCACTTGATTTTAAAAAGATTTTTTTCTGATAATTTTAAATACATTTAACGACACTTATTTTTTGATAGTTTAATCTGTAAATTTCAAGTTTCATATGTGTTTGTTTTCTATTGATGATTACTTGGTAAAATATTTTTAAACAAAAACGTTTTTTGCAACATGACCAGAAGGGATGCTCAGAAAAGACACCCGATCAACCTTAAGGGATGAATTGATTACGAGGCGATTCGAAGCTGATATCGAAAAATGTAGTTCAACGTCACGTTACGTTCTTTATGAAAACAAACAAGACGGTAGAATGAATGACAAGATAATAGAAAACAGCAGATAAAAGAATGAATTGTTACCAAAGGTCGAACACATCCTCTATTAGAATGCCGCATAGTTGAATTTTATCCACTAATTTAGTTTCAGATATTTTGCATTTTTGTCAGTCAAAATAAAAACAGTGTAAAACCCCTGAGAAAAAACTATTTGTTTTTGTATTCTTATTCTATTGTTTCACTGTCTCTGAAATAGAAATAATATTAACTTGTATAAGCTGTCTTTGTTGTTAATTAGCAGAGGTAATACGGTCAGAGGTCATAGTGTTTTACACCTCCAAAACTACGCTATATTTCACATCATATTAGATTCCATATACATTTAATCGTAAAAATAATTATTTCAGGTTCTTTTTTTAATGAAAATTTACTGTTAAACTCATAAAGGAAATATTTTTTTGACGGGTCATTACAGAGAAATCATTATTTATATACAATTTTTGAAATTTATTTCCTTCACATGCTACACCACTATATATATATATTTATCAAGCATAAATTCCGATTTGTCTTTAAAAGTATATAAGCCCTAATTAAAACAAAAATCAAATAAGAAAAAAAAAACAAGAGGTGCGAACAGTTTTGACCACTGGCTGCATATTGTACGTAGTTGGTATTGATATATAGATATATCTTGAAAAATGTCATGTAATATATGATAATATCTGACCCCTGGAATTAAAGAAAAAATATTATGATTCGTCGGTATTCCTATGGGAACGAACTGTGCGCCTCTCCTTGCTGACCTATTCTTATTTTCATATGAGTCGGAGTTCCTTCAGGCACTTGTCAAACACAAGAAGATCAAAGAAGCCAGATCATTTGATTTCACATTCAGATACATTGATGATGTTCTTTCAATTAACAATACTAACTTTTCTGATTGGGTTCCATTAAAATATTTTCCAGAACTAGAAAATAAAGATACAGACACGGCTTCCTCCGCCTCATTTTTATACTTATACTCGAATTTGACATAAGCGGTCATCTCAGTACCAAAATCTATGACAAACGATACGATTTTAATTTTGAAATTATCAATTTCCCCAACCTTAGTAGCAATATACCAAACTTTACCTGCATATGGGATATAAATTTCCCAACTCATTCGGTATTCAAGAGCTTGCAGCTGCTACTCAGACTTTATAAAACGTCACCAGTGTCTGTGCAGAAAGTTGATGAATCAGGGTTATGTCAAAGAACATCTCGACCTTTTTCTAAAAAAAGTTCATTGGAAGATACCAAGACTTTATTGATAAATATTCCGTATCAACTTCACAAATAATACATGATGTTCTTGAAGCATAGATTCTTGGTACTGACGTTGTTAATCATCTTAATTACGTGTTATAGTGCTCTTTTATTTGTCTTTGTAAATTATTAATCTTTACTCTTCAGTCCATTTTTGGTAATATCCTTTTGGCGTGGCTCGGTACTTATACATCTAGCCATTGTGTTATTGTGCTATGGTCATTTTTTGTATTCTTGTTTTTCATATTTGCTTATTTGCTTTGTCTATATGCCACAATGTTTTTCTTTTTTGACATATTTGTTTGTTTTCATAGTGATTAAGATTATAACACAATGTTGACTGCTGTAGCCGTATTTTTGACATGTCTGTTTGTTTTGATCTTGATCCAGTTTATACGCCAATAAATTCCTTTAAAAATGTGTTTAATCGTTATAATTCTTTTGAATTGGATATAAATTTAATTTCATTACTCTATCACACGTAAATTGTATATTTGTGTCATTGAATTGGCCTGGCGCATGATTATATTTTTTGGTTATACCGACTCTGCTATCTGAAGTGAAAATAAATTAATCATATCTTATTATCCTTCAAATGAATATTTTGTGTTCTTTTTTCAATTTAACGATGAACGCGAAGTGAAAATAAATATTTTTAACGTCGAGCCGGTTTGTGCTATTATCGCCGCCATCTTGTTTACATTGGTTACAAAAAGTAGTTTTGTCAGCGTCGTTTTCCAAAAATAAATAACTTTAAGAGCCACTACCGGAAGCCAATTATATAAACGTATTTCCTAATATGCTAATCATATAAGAATTATAACACACTGTTGACTGCTGTACCCCAATTTTTGACATTTGTACCTATTATGTCTGTTTGTTTTGCTCACACATTGTTGTCAATATAATGGAATTTTATGTGACTGGCATACAAGTGAGAGGTTTAGCTATCTATAAAACCAAATTTAATCCACCATTTTCAGAAATGCCTGTACCAAGTCAGGAATATGACAGTTGTTTTCCATTCGTTTGATGTGTTTGAGCTTTTGATTTTGCCATTTGATAAGGGACTTTCCGTTTTGAATTTTCGGTCGGTATTTTTTGTTATTTTACTTTTTTCTTTAATCATTCTGAAATTACGTAGTTATGATGTCACTATGATGACACATTGTCAAATTTTACATATTTTATCTTACAGAATGTAAAGTAGAATATGTTAGGTATAAATTTTACACATCGATTAAGCAAAATTAGATATCAGCTAAGGCCTTACAGAAAAATATATTTTACTAACATAAAATCTTTGTAAAACATTTTTTGTATACGACTCAGATCTAAATATTAAAGACAAGACTTAACATCATGTTGTCATTGTTGATTTATGAAGTTTGAATCCGTAATGTTTAAAAAAAAACCAAGACTTCAGGGATTAATCTTGATATAATTATTCACCACTACTTGAAGGTGTGTCTTCATACAGAAGAAAATCCTACATTGAAAGTCATAGTCAAAAACTTAGTTCAACTTAGCAATCCCTATGCATATTTACAAAAATCGTAACCGTTCTATCTATGAAACCCCTTATACATCAGGGATGAAACTAGGTATGACTATTCACCACTACTAGAAGACATATTGCATACACAAGAAAATCCTACATTGAATGTAATGATCAAAAACTTAGTCTAACTAAGCCACCGCCTGTGCAAATGTACACACATCATTTCCGTCATCTAATTGAAAAAAAAACCTAGAATTTCAGGAATGAAACTGAGCGTGATTATTCAACACTACTAGAAACTGTGTTGTGCAAATGAATAAAAACCGTTCGTTGATGGTTATGATCAAACTGTTGGTTGAACTTAAGACACCAGTGCGTATATTCATGACATTATTCTTATTGTACAATAATAAAGCGCCCTCTGTGATGGCTCCCAGCAAACATAGTTGACGACTGTATTACCTAATTATTTGTAGGAAAAAAAATATCTTTAATTCACTTATGTTTACGTTATATACTTATCCATTTCTTACGTATAATGTAGAGTACTTATAATGTAGAGTATTATGTCGCTTGTGTATTTTTCTCTTATAGTCCATAAAATATTAATAAAATAATATGTAAATGGGTAAATGTAGGCAATAGTAAGTTACCGATGTTCAAATCTCATAAAAACATACAAAACAAGGTAACAAACAAAAACTGAGGGAATCGCATGAACCCCATTAAGATGCAAGACCGGGTGCGTTGGAAAGGTAAGCGTATCCTAGTATGCATTCATCAACCGCCATGCGAATGCACATTTAGTCAAAAAGTCGTAATCGGGGATAGAACACAATCGGTAAAATTACAGATCAGTCTACTATTCTGGTATCTCAAGATCTAAGAACACATGTCAATAGTGAGTTGCGACACCGACACATCTTATGAGTAATGGTTATCATAAATCTAATGTAGTGTCAATTTCAGTCGTTCTTCCATAAAACTCTGTTGGAGTAATTTTGTGTATGGTGCACACTTCTTTTAATGAAGTCTGTATTGTGTGAACATGTACGAGCGTAACGTTTTAGTTGAGATCTGTAAAAGACATATAATGAAGCAGAGGGTATGTTAGTTCTGAGAAATGGAAAGTTTCGGTTATATCCTTAACCTCAAGTTCACTGGGATATATGGGATGTAAGGACTCACTGAAATGTGGTTTATTGAGTGACCAGACATCATCAATATATCTGAAAGTGAATCTAAAGAACCTTGCAAGATACTTTTTCTGTTTTCTTTGGGAAAGTTCTGTCTAAATTATCCTTCATATGAATAAAACGAAATCGGCTAGTAGTTATGCACAATTAGTACCCAATGGAATATCGATTGTCTATTAATAAGGTTGATGATGGGTATTTATTAAGAAAATCGGTAACACTACTAATGAAACATACATTTATATTTAAGTCTCCCAAACGAAGTTTGGGAAGACTTATTGTTTTTGCTCAGTTCTTATTCTTCTTCTTCTTCTTCTTCTTCTTCTTCTTCTTCTTCTTCTTCTTCTTCTTCTTCTTCTTCTTCTTCTTCTCCCGCCGCTTTTAAATTTGAACTTGTCCGCACCCGTTCTCCAAAACCGCTTGTCGGATTAACTTAGGGTTTCACAATATGTTAGACTAACATGTCTAGTGGTGCAATCAGGGTTTTGTTTTTGCAATGGGGTTTATAAAGGGGTACTTTGAGGGGCAAAAAGAAAAGAGGGTTTTACTATAGAACCCTATGGGATTTTATTTTTAAAAATTTTCAAATGATTATAAATTGAAAACCGTTCCTGATAGACACAAACTTTTTAATTGAAAATGTTCTAAATGATAAAGCCCATTAAATGAAATACAGGGTTAGTCCCCAGGGGTCACCCCCACCCCCTGCCATTTAAGAAAGTTCTAATACCTTGTAAGTGGTCAAGATCCCCACCCCTAAACCATATATATTCTGGTTTGTCATGCTAAGATGGTTTGAATGATATACAGGGTTAGTCCCCAGGGGTCATTCCCACCCCCTGTCATTTGAGAAAGTTCAAATATCTTGTAAATGGTCGAGATCCCCACCCCTAAACCATATATATTCTGGTTTGTCATGCTAAGATGGTTTGAATAATATACAGGGTTAGTCCCCAGGGGTCATCCCCACCCCCTGTCATTTGAGAAAGTTCTAATATCTTGTAAATGGTCGAGATCCCCACCCCTAAACCATATATATTCTGGTTTGTCATGATAAAGCACATCAAATGTAATACAGGGTTAGTCCCCAGGGGTCACCCCCACCCCCTGCCATTTAAGAAAGTTCTAATATCTTCTAAGTTGTCAAGATCCCCACCCCTAAACCATATATATTCTGGTTTGTCATGCTAAGATGGTTTGAATGATATACAGGGTTAGTCCCCAGGGGTCATCCCCACCCCCTGTCATTTGAGAAAGTTCTAATATCTTGTAAATGGTCGAGATCCCCACCCCTAAACCATATATATTCTGGTTTGTCATGATAAAGCACATCAAATGAAATACAGGGTTAGTCCCCAGAGGTTACCCCCACCCCCTGCCATTTAAGAAAGTTCATATATCTTGAAAGTGGTCAAGATCCCCACCCCTAAACCATATATATTCTGGTTTGTCATGCCAAGATGATTTGAATGATATACAAGGTTAGTCCCCAGGCATCACTAATGCATATAACTTTACTGGACCAAACCAATTTTCACTGGACATTGCCCAATGTCAGGCGACCCTGGGAATTACGAATTATGGGAGCTTCGTTTGGGAGACTTCGTAACAGTATCCTGTTACAATCAGTTCTTGTTATTTTATATGATTATTCTTTTTCATTTGTTTTCAGTATAAAAGAAACAGGCCATGTAAGTATATACAATATAGCTGACATGCATACTTCTAGTTTTATTTTGTTTATAGAAGGGAAAAACAATCCTTGCCTGATGGAGATACGCTCGTAGTCAATTAACTTACATAAGTTTAAGCTATCCTTCCCTTTTTTATTTGAAGATGTTTTACGCATGTATCTTTGTTTTCAGAATCTCGTCTTTATATTAATCGTGAGTAAGGAACTAAGGAGAAATCACAAAACCTTTTGTCTCAATAAGTAAACTTATTTATTAACATAAAATCTGTTTTTGATTTAAATCAAAACCAGAGAGTGTGTTTCAGTTTGTTAAATAAAGTAACATGTGTATTGAAGGTCTTCCACTACTGATGATGTAGCCTCTACCGATGATGTTGTAGTAGGCTTAGAGGTCGGAGCATTCGCCATAGCTGTAAGTTAGTTTTTCACAATATTAACATTTATAAATGAACCCATGCAAGTATATCATATGCAGTAAAATGTATAAAATAACACCTCAGTTTTGATACATTAAAGATTTTTTTGCAAGACTTTATTTATATCAATATTTTAAAATCTGACAACAACGACCAGTGCTGGTTAATTTAAATAACTCTTGATAAAACTTCGTGCGTGAGTAGCGTTTTTTTTTATTTAACTTCATCAAAAACGTTAATACCGACAAATTTGAGAGTTAGGGATCTATAAATAGGTAGAAAGATTAGGAGCTTAATGACCAAAAGAATGGCGAAAGATACAAAAGGGACATTCAAAATCATAAGTCGAAAATAAACTGAATACGCCATGGCTAAAACGAAGAGGACCATAAGACAAACAACAGTATTCAAAACACAACATTGAAAACTAAAGACTGATCAACACGAATTTAAACAGAATAGCCAAATGCATCTAAAGTCAACTTTTCCTGAGTGAGCTGGAACCTAAGTTTCTTAGCAATTTCTTAATTTATCAATTGGAAAATTTAAACAAAATATGTAATAAATCATATCAGTACCGAAGCACTTATCTTTGAGCTGAAGATACCATCAGGGTCTTGCAGTCCACCAGCTGTTGCATCGGCCAAGTGCTAGAAAAGTATAACAACTCTTCATAAATTTTGTGCGTCCGAAACGCTTTTCTAGATTTACCTACCTTCATCATGATAAGTAACGGTCAAACCCAAAGATTTGAAAGCAAGGGATGTATAAATACGTAGAAAAATTAGGAACTTAATAACCAAAACAGAAAGTATCATTTAATCAGTACTTGTTTATGAGAGTTTTGGATATTAAGCACATAAGCTCGGACAAAAGAACGAACAGATAACTATACAATACTGTTTGAATAAACGGAATTTTAATTAGTTACCAAGTTCTTCTCGGTACTCACCTCTATTCTCCTCTCTGACAACCATATAAAATACAATCATTCTCAATGTCTTATTTTGATTTTGGGCAACATATATTGGGAATTTCAAATAAGTTCGTGGGGCCTGTTTTCAACCCGTATACCGGAATACCATTCGTATTGTACCTTTTTTACAATGCTTATGGCATATTTTTCCATATTGTATCTGCAATGCCTCAATGATCAGAAATCACTGACACTTTCTTTGAAAACTTCACGGTCATGGTCATCATACACCATCTCCTGCTCATGATTCTCTTATTAATGACCTTCTGCCATTTATACAGATATCTTGGATGTACATTACAACCACACGAAATTCATTCTCTGTACAACATTTGTTTAGAAACCCCAGTAAGAAATTCCATTCTGATAAATACAAACTTACAGCTTGCATCTCATATGTTGCCCGTCAAAGACTTTTTTAGACCAGTTGACATGGGAAAATATGTAATGTAGAAAAGATCCTTTGTTAAACTTTCCTTTACCAACAAAGATTAGCTGCCATCAATTTAGACAATACCCTTCGTCATAAATCAGTCTTATCGAAAATGCCCCGTCCTTACTTAAAAGATCAGTTTGTTCCTCTTATCTGCTTAAATAAAGGCAACAGTAGTATACCGGTGTTCAAAAGTCATAAATCGATTGAGGGAAATCAAATCCGGGTCACAAAGTAAAACCGAAGGCAACACATCAACTATAAGAGAAAAACAAAAGAACAAAAGGAACACTGAAGTGCAACAAAAACAAACGCCAACATACATAGAAACGAACTATTTGCCATATTTCTGACTTGGTACATGACATTTTAAGAAAAAAAGTGGTGGGTTGAACATGGTTAAATGGCTAGCCAAACCTCCCGCTTTATGACAATGTTAAAAAAAATATCGCTACAATGACAACACTACGTTACAGAAATACAGCACAAACACACGCAAGAACATTCATCACAGAGAAACGCACAAACAAATAATATAATAGTCGACACAACATGCACACCGCAGAACAACAACGAACATATTCCATCAACGACGAACACCACAGGATATCACAAACAATGACGCGCTTACGTAACTAACATGCAATCTCGAACTTTATACAATTATTTTCACAATACTCGTCCAAACAATTTTTATGACAATGATGGTATTGAAAGGCAATTTTATAATTATTTGGACTACAAACGATAAGACATAACACATTATCCAACCGAAACCATCAAACATCAAAAATAAATACATGAATGTTGGATGTACAAAATACTGAGACACGTCGTATAGCAATGAAGATTCACACTCGGTATAACAGTCATATTCTGGAATATGACAATGATGGTATTCAAAGGCAATTTTATAATTATTTGGACAACAATAATTAACTTAAAATTTTCTACACCTATTGCGACTAAAATTTCCAATGTGTTGCAGGACTTCAATTATGACGACTAAAACGACTAAACCTTTTGATTACACCTGTGATAGCTCCAAATTCATGTTTAATCCGGCTGACCACGTTATTCCTGATGACCTGAACATTGTTAGCAATATTTCTCTGCGAAATATAATTAACAAAGGCCCGAAATACCTTGAGCCGAAATCCATGAATTTGAAGAAAACACAACTGGATTCAGTCGATAATTATGCCAGGCAATGCAATTAAAAAGAATACATACATACCCTTCCTAATGGGTTAAGGAAATGGGGTCGTTGATGCTAATCAGAATTAGGAAAAAAACACTTATGGGTAATTAATGCTCATGCTACATATATCTTTAAATCCCAAAATGATAATAAACTAGAAGCAACAATAGTTACCAATGTTCAATATCATGTGACATTAACTACTCAAGGGGCGTTGTACACTCCAAATTCCAGAGAATTATTAGAGTACAAACAATCTAAGTTTTTTAGACTTCTCAACCCTTTACACAAGTACTCCTCATCCTTAACTTAAAGATAGATCGACAGAATAACTCCAACCTTGATTTAAAAAAAAAATGGTACGAAAAAATTCTCTAAAACTGACATCATCAAGATGCTTGTTTTTTTATTGACAACGCGTTACGTTTGGAGGACGAGTTTTTCAACAGACAATCGGCATTTATATGATCCTCTTCTTATCGACGTGTTCATATATAATGAGTTTGACATAACAAAGATGGTTTTTATGAAGAATGAAAAAAAGCAAGCTTTAACCTTTGACTTCACGTTCCGCTACATAGACAATCTCCGCTCACTCAATAATTTGGCGACTATGTTGAACGCATCTGTCTGATCGAACTTAAGATAAAGGAAACCACAGAGACAGTTAAGTCTGTCTCATATCTTGACATTGAGGGATGGCTCTGAAATAAACTTTACGACATAAGAGAAAACTTCAGCTTTCCTATTGTGAACTTTCCATTTCTGTGTAGCAACAATCAAGTGACGCCTGCATATAAAGTATATACCTCAATATTTATAAGATATTCCTGAGTGTGTTATTCATATAATGATTTCCTTGATAGAGGTTTGCTCTATTTACAAGGAAGATATTGAACCGAGGGTTCCTAGCGGTAAAGTTGAAGTCATCCCTTCGAAAGTTTTACGAACGCAACCATCATTTTGTTGACCGTTATGGAACATCTGTTGCACCGATGACCCTGAATATATTCTAATTGTCATGTTAACAATCCAGTGCTCTTTTTCTTGATTGTGACATCCCCCAATGAGACATGTTACCGAAATTGTAATCGCAATGAGCAACACGACGGGTGCCACACGTGCTGCTGATTATGCTCTTCCTTATTTTTCTGAGTTCACGTTGCCCTGTCTTTAGTTTCCTGTTTAGTGTTTTGTAGCCAGTTGTTTGACCTTTTTGTCGTTTTTGTGTTTAACTCATTTGGGCCAAAGGGCCAATGTAAGCTTTTCTCATCACTTGATATCCAACGTCGTCATTTACTTTTACAAAAGTCTTTTTGTCTGAAACATCTAGGCTAATTGGGTTCAAATATGGTTATAATCATCCTTGGGGTGATTAGTTTTAAACAATTGTGTCCGATGATCCCACTCGCCAACCAACATGGCTGCCAATGGTAAAAATAGAACAAGGGTGAAATTCATGAATTGTCAATTATCTTCAAAAACCGTTACAGATACAGAAAAATCTGGCTGGATAGAAATGTTCAGAGTGTCAAGATCTAACACTGTCTTTATTGACCAAAATTGTCATACAACTCCTTATTAGGGTTTTTGCCTTTAAATGAAAATGTATTCGAATTATTTGCGACATTTGCTTTTATCAGGAAAATTATCATCGATAGAAAAAAAATAAATGACAAATATGATCTGCAAGGCAAGATCTATAAATAAGTCAAAATGATCGAAATTGTCCATCGACTCCTTGAATGACAATGTATACCATTTTTTGTGATTTTTGCAGACACTTTATAGTAAATACAGATTTCTTTTATAGGAAAAATGATCAGAAAAATACGATCTACATACAAGTTGAAAGTCCGAAATCGTCAGTCGACTCGAGATAAGAGTTATGACCTTTGAATGACGATTTTACTCCTTTTTGTTTTTAGTTTAAACAATTAGAAATAGAGAGAAACTGTAAATATAAAAATGACCATGAAAATAAAATCTACAAATAAGGTCAAAGACTGAAATCGTAGGTCGACTTCTTATAAAAGCTAATGCCTTGAATACCATTTTTTTGTAATTTTAGCAGAAACTATATACTAGTAGATACAAAAACTTTTGAAAATTGATCAGAAAAATAAGATCTCTGAGTATGTACGACCGCCGAAATCGACTGTCGACTTCTGATATGAATTATTGCCATTAAATGACGATTTTTACGTATTTTTTGTTTTTTGCAGAAGCCATATTTTGGCCTCTAGCATCACTGAAGATACAATGATTGTCGAAATGCGCATCATCTGGTGCAGAAAAATTGGTACCATGTATGTTATTAAATGGAGAGAAACTACAATTGCAAAAATTACCTATAAAATAAGATCAACATGATCGAATCGTCATTCAACTCCTTTTGGAAGTTTTTGTCCTTAAAATAACGATATAAAAAAAAACCAATTTAAGTGGTTTAACCAAATATATTGAAAATTGTAATAAATAGATTGAAATTTTCTCGTCTCGTCCTTTTTCTAAAAAAGTTAATCGGAAGATACTAAGACCTTGTTGATAAATATTCCGTATCACCTTCACAAATAATACATGATGGTCTTGAAGTATAGATTATAGGTACTGACTTTGTTTATCATCTTAATCACGTGTTATAGTGTTCGTTTTATTTGTTTTTATATATTTTAACCTTAACTGTTTAGTCCACTTATGGTATATACTTTTGGCGTGGCTAGGTATTTAAACATCCCGCCATTATGTTATTGTGCTATGGTCATTCTTGTCTTTCAATTTTGCTTATGTACTTTGTTTAAAGAGAGTCTATTTGCCATTTTATTTTTCTTTGTTTAAATAGTTATTTGTTTTTATAGTGATTAAGATTATAACACAATGTTGACTGCTGTACCCCAATTTTTGACATTTGTAACCTATTATGTCTGTTTGTTTTACTCACACATTGTTGTCAATATTATGGAATGCTATATGACTGTCATACAAGTGAGAGGTTTAGCTAGCTATAAACCAGGTTGAATTCACCATTTTATAAATAAGGAAATACCTGTACCAAGTCAGGATTATGACAGTTGTTTTCCATTCGTTTGATGTGTTTGAGCTTTTGATTTTGCCACTTGATAAGGGACTTTCCGTTTTGAATTTTCCTTGGAGGTCGGTATTTTTTTATTTTACTTTTTTTGGAACAGAAAAAAAACAGTAGCAACACAAGATGCGTAAATAAGAAAATATGAATAAAATTGTCAATGACTCCTTCTCTACAAAGAGGCTATGCATCTGCGTGTCAGCAACTCCTTCTAAACCAGTTACTGAATGGTTGAAACCGTCACAGCATCTCTCTTTGAGGTTTTGAACTCAATGTTTTGTTTTTCAATTGAATGTTTGTACTGACTTTACTGCTAGCTATAAAATGCTTGTAAAAAGTCCGTATCCATACAAGGGTACTAATATTAGAGCGGCAGTTTAAATTTGTGGGCTCTGCTGACAGTTGTTGTCGCTGTGTCCAGTATTTTGATGAAGACTGGATATTTAGTATACTTGGAAATAGAAGCCCATCAAAATAGAACTATCGAAACCGGCTGGTAACACTTCAAATTCATGATAATTAACAGGGCTTTCTAAAAGCTTATAAAACATATAAGTTATTTAGAATTTTGTGACTAATTTAAACATGTTATGCCTGTTAAAAAATACTGCAATATTAAAATTATAAAAAAAAATTTATTCCACTTCTTTTACATTCCGAAAGCCCTTTCTTAAATGTGACAGGACGTATTAAGTCATACATGTATAGCTTTGATAAGTGTTTGGTATTACTATAAATTTTCACTTCGTACTATGAACATCAAAATTATTTATTTTGTAAAAATATTTCCTTTCTCTATTGGAACTGTACACGTATCCCTAACAACAAAATTATTTTCATTTACCTGTGTTTAAAGTAATTGCAAATGGCTGATATTTTTGTTCGAGCATATTGTTTTTCTTAAATTGTTTAACATTTCATACCGATATAACTAGTTACTGTTATTATTCTTTCCTTAGTTTATTTATTTTGTATTTACATTGTATCATAGGTCAAATTTATTTGTTCAGTGTATGTTCACTGATGTTAATATGTCCTTTGATTGAGTTAAGCTATTTCAGTTGATATTTTATAGTGTGTCTTTCTATGTTGTGATGTTACACTATTGTTTCAGAAAAAGGGTGAAGGTTTGGTACCATTTAAACGTTTAAACCCGCTGCATTTGTTTGCACTTGTCCTAAGTCAGGAATCTGATGTTCAGTAGTTGTCGTTTTTGATGTGGTTCATAAGTGTTTCTCGTTTTTTATATAGATTAGACCGTTGGTTTTTCCGTTTGAATGGTTTTACATTAGTAATTTGTGGGGCCCTTTATAGCTTACTGTTCGATGTGAGCCAAGGCTCCGTGTTGAAGACCGTACTGTGACCTATAATGGTTTACTTTTACAAATTTTGACTTGGATGGAGAGTTGTCTCATTGGCACTCATACCACATCTTCTTATATCTATATAGAAATATATAGAGATGGACATTTAGGAGAAATTACTGTGCTTTGCCTGAATCTGTTGCGTGGATAAGCTATACTACGTATACATGTACGTCAATTAGACAGCAAACTAATCATAAAAGATATTTTTTGCAGGATTAATAATTCCTTCAGAATGGCTGGTAAATAATAATTGAATGTACGCTTCTGTTTAACTTGACTATTGGTTATATTGACCAAAACGCATTCAAAGATATGTAACCCAATCATCGTTGATCCTTTTTTTCTGAAAATACAAGGCAATCAACTGTCGATCATCGTACTTAACCCGTTTCGTGCAAAATGACTGACTATCTTAAATTTTGAGCAAAATTCAAGGGAATTACATGATGATAATTTCATTGTTTTCTATTTATTCTTGTATGCTCGGAAAGGATTGTATCCATAAGGTTCCCATATATAGTTAGGCCTCCCACAGGTTAAAGAAAGTTAAATGACTTTGCAATTGTTCAGAGAGTTTGATCAATCATAGATGTTAACTATAATAAAAAGAAATATCGGTTTGAAAAAGAAGAATTAATTGTCTAAGGTACGGGGTTGGAATCCTATACCTGGAAGGAAAAAGTGTGATTTTTTTATAAACTCGATATAAGAGATCACAATGGCCTTTATTGTGTTCAGCATATGGGGAAATGTTGGTTTTTTTTATCTGTTATAGAAGTAGTGGAAGATTATATAGCTGTTGTATTAGACTTGACTTAATTTAGTTTGGGTTTAATATTGACATGATGCTTTTTGAACCACATATGATATCAATTAAAACAAATTCTCGTTGGCCTTCTTTGTCATTATCTGAATAATATAGGATTAACCAATTAGGACCAAAATGGTGTGACATTATGGGGCATCACAACATTCGAAAACTCCATTTTATGCCAGTCCAGCAATTTCATTAAACCGTTTTGGTTTTACAAACAAGGATGACGTGGGCTTTCTTCAAATGAATCTTTCGATGCTTGTCGCTGTCGGCGTAAACAGTGTAAACAGGGAGACTTATTGGAATGCAAATAATACTTAATACATTTCGTGCGTCCGGAGCACTTTTGTGGATTTACTTTCATCAGTAATGCTCAAACCTAAGCATATGAAATCCAGGAATGTATAAAGACGCAGTCACCTTAGAAGCTATAAAAAAACATAAAAAGAAAAGCCAAATTCATTTAAGGTCAACTTCAGTTTCTGAATAACTTCTAAATTTATATACAGACAGTTTTATTTTAGAAACGTATGTTAAATAATGTAACTACCGAAGCACTAATTACTAAGCTGATGAACGTCGCGGGGACGGATAGTCCACCAGCAGTGGATTCGACCCAATGCTAGTAAATGAAAGTAGCACATAATAAATTTCATTCGCCCGAAAATTACTACTAATTAAAAGATAATTGTAACATATGCTCCTGTCAACGCATATTTACACAAAAACATTAATATATACATTCATAACATGCTTATCTCACAAAACATGTTTAACCCCGCCGCATTTTCGCGCCTGTCCCAAGTCAGGAGCCTCTTGACTTTGTTAATCTTGTATGTTTTTTAATTTTAGTTCATTTATGTTTTGGAGTTTAGTGTGACGTTCATTTTCATTGAACTAGTACACATTTTGTTTAGGGGCCAGCTGAAGCCCGCTTCCGGGTGCTGGATTTTCTAGCTGTGTTGAAGACCCATTGGTGGCCGTCGGATGTTTTCTGTTGTTTGGTCGGGTTGTTGTCTCTTTGACACATTCCCCATTTCCATTCTCAATTTTATTGTCTATTTAATTTTTCAGATTTTACTTTCAATTTTTCTTTCTTGCTTTGAGAGAAACAAACGTGGTGGAAGACCAGGTATTGTGGTGTACGTATTCTTATTTTATTCTAATTTTATATAACACCCATACTACCAATTGATTTTTTTTTTAGAAATAATGATTATAATTTGCTTGAACAAGAGTTTAAATCATTTGTTCATTGCTTTAAATTAGTTCTATCTACCGCATAACAATTAAACATCAGTTGAGAAATAACTTTAATTTTTGACGAGATATATTTTATTTACAGATAAGATGATGATAATGACCTTTTATATTTAAAAGTATTCAAATGTCTGTGGTATCTATAACCATATAAAAGTTACTTTGGGGTTAGGTGTCGCAAGTGGAACATTGCGATCTAAACACCGAACGAATGTTTTTACGAACTTGATATCGTCTCTATTCTCGTATATTTTAGTTTTGATTTTTTTTTCAATTTGTACCAATACACTCATTATAGATACCAGGCTTAAAAGTTTGCACGCCAGACGCGCGTTTCGTCTACAAAAGTCTTAAATAACTCGCGTATGCTACCGTCGAATCACGTCAAATTTATAGTCAATGTCACAATTACTAAAACTACGTTTCTTTTCAATTTTGACGGTGAAAAATTAAAAGTATATTTAAACAAAACGCATTTGACTAACAGGTCGAACAACGGATGTTCTTAAACCCTGCTGACTGCCATTGGCGATTGCCAAATAAACGGATCACAAGTTTTGTTTAAATATACTTTTTCACTTTTTTTGTCTTTTGGAAAATGTTGTGTGTGCTGTATTTAGACATCTCTACCAAGAAATTTGTTTTGCATGCACACGTATAAAAATTGCGGTTTTTATCCAATGCAATCATAGGTTTGAACGTTGTTTTCAATTTAGACTTATTTATATTTTTTCGTTTGGGCTTGTATTATATTTGCCTTCGGGTTTATATGATCCGTTCATCCTATTTCGACTCTTCAAAATTCAAGAGTCTATCCTAAATTGAGGTAAATTATATGGCCTTCCAAATACCGTTTCGATTCCTAACATCACTGAAGAGACATTAATTGTCGAAATCCGGATATGGTGTACAAATTTTTGCACCTCATGTTTGCGATATACCATCTTTTCCGCAAGTTTATTGTTTTCTGTTTGGTATTGAATTAATAATAAAGATCCATTTTGTTACATCTTGTGATCCGTTTATTTGGCAATCGCCAATGGCAGTCAGCAGGGTTTAAGAACATCCGTTGTTCGACCTGTAAGTCAAATGTGTTTTGTTTATATATATATATACTTTTCATACACTAGAGTTTCCAAACTTTTTGTTTGAGAGTACTTTAAAAGAATATCAAGAAACATGTGTTAATTTTTGTATTCTTGAGTTTCATTTTTGCGTATGTGCTTTGTCTATATGCCATTTTGTTTTTCTTTGTTGACATATTTGTTTGTTTTTATAGTGATTGAGATTATAACACAATGTTGACTGCTGTACCCTATTTTTGACATTTTTACCTACTATGTTTGTTTGTTTTGTTCACACATTGTTGTCAATATAATGGAATTTTATGCGACAGTCATACAAGTGAGAGGTTTAGCTAGCTTTAAAACCAGGTTTAATCCACCATTTTCTACACAAGGAAATGCATGTACCAAGTCAGGAATATGACAGTTGTTTTCCATCCGTTTGATGTGTTTGAGCTTTTGATTTTGCTAATTGTTGAGGGACTTTCCGTTTTGAATTTCCCTTGGAGTTCGGTATTTTTGTTGTTTTGCTTTTTATCATGGATTTCAAAATGTGACTTTTTGAGTGACTTCATCAGGCATGGTCCCCTTTTTCGTGACATCACAATAGTAAAAAAGAGGAAAATAAAACAACTTTACGTCATAATTGAAATTTGACCAATGATGAGCTGAGATCAAATGAAAAAGTGTTGACAAAAAATACCAAACTCCAAGGTAAATCAAAAGAGGGGGAAGTCCATAAAACCTGACAAAATCAAACTATATCAATCAACGGAACAAATGGAAAACAACTGTCATATTCCTGAATTGGTATAGGCATTTCTGAAGAAAATAGTGGGTTAAACCTGTTTTATTGCCAGTTAAACCTTCCTCTGACAGTTGTTGATGAACCACATGTTATTCATAAAATAAAATAATCAACCGGTCGGAAAAAGATATAAATAGGTTAATAATAAGAGAATGCTGTTTATTCAATATTTTATCTTAGTTAAGTACCATAATTTATTAAAGTGGTATTAGCTCCGATTTAGATTAAACATTACGATTTTTGTGTGTTTCGAACATTTATAAAAGCGGAATATCAAAATAATGTTAGGTTTCATAATAAAAAACAAGATTAAATTATTCATGGCAGCTGTAGAGATATCAATATAACTAGAACACACCCGCGAAATCGTGGGCATTTAGAGCGTGGTTGAAAGTATGTAAACTATTGTAGGATGAATTTTTGTAAAAGATTTTATGACTGGAGAATTTCAGGAAAGGTATCAAATGTACTTGTGGGCACTATAGTATTTTTTTTAGCCCTCCCACTTTTTCCAAAGTCCGTTATTTTTTGTTTTCTGTAAATTTGAATTATTTTCGCGTTTTTCTGTATACTATGAACATACACATACTATAAATAAAGTGTATTTGCTATTTACTATTAATTCCAAGTTTACCGTTATCCACGGCGGTCACTGATATAGTCTATATAATAATATCAGTGACCGCCGTGGATAGTAATCTTGGAATTGATAGTAAATAGCAAATACACTTTATTTATAGTATATGTATGATCATAGTATACAGAAAAAACGCGAAAATAATTGTCCTATCCCCAAGTACTTGTGAAAATTATGTGTAATTTTAAAACAGTCCTAAACAGAAGTCTTGTCTATGACTTAAAAGTCCGTCCGATGACGGAAATAATATTCGGACGCCTTTATTTTCGTTTTCCTCCCAAAATAACCCAAACTGAATAATCATAAGCGAGGATGACAAATGCGACTATGCATGGTACCTATAGGACACAGAGGCATGATGATTAATTTATTGTGGAAGGAAGAGAAGCGACACACAAAATGGGGTCTTCTCATTTAATAGTATAGATGTTCCGCGATTTGTAGCCAGTTTGGTTCAGTTTGGTAAAAATAAGACAAAAAAAAACCCACCGCAAATGTTTTAATGGATTGCAAGTAAATAATTCAACCTTATTTGAATCCGTATTCATGTGACCCTAACATGACCTTTAGTTTGAGATTGGTAACGCATGCCCTGAGCGTGTTCAATTATTAAAAAGAAAAGAATGTCAACAAAGTGAAACAAGTAAGCCACCAGAAAAAAACCCGAACATTTCTTTCACTGATTAAGTCAAATCGGTGATGATGAATATGACAGCTTATGCCCCTTTTAAAGTCAAATGAAACGAGTTTCTTGTAATTATAATATTAAGGAAAACATTGAACCAATGCATTAATATATACTAAACTAATTTAATTCCTACCGCGAAACTTTCATAAAAGTCATCAATTTGTTATTTATTTTTATATTTCAGACCGATAAACTTTTTGAAAGATGATAATTTAGCCATTGTTTATACAGCTGCGTTCGGATGTACTTCAATTCAACTCCTGAATTTGATATTATTGAAAGGATTCGTTTTAGATTCGTTCAATATTCCACGATTGGTTATCCCTTGGGTTAGAGGTAAGCCATGAATGTTTGTCATTTGCATATACTCGGAAAAAAGCAATAGCAATTTTGAAGTGATAATACAGACATGTGGGAAATATAGCTACATTATCAAACAAATATTTTATCATCCAGTATACAGAATATGGAAATCAGCAAGGTTTTGTGCTTTTTTCTTATGTTAACCTTATATTGATTATAAACATGGAGACCCAGTGTAGAAAATGAAAACAAAGAAATGTACAGAAATGAAAGTAAAACGTTAAGTTATTAATTCATGTATACACAACTTCGAAATTCATGGTCTTCATTTGGTTTATCAAGTTTTAGTTACTGCATCTACATTTGTATGGAGTTATACAGAAGAAGAGTCCGTTAACCCTTTCCTTTTCACACCGTACAGCGTACCGTTGAAGCAAATTTTAAGACATTTTTTTGGAGTTAAGTCTTGTTTCATCGAAATTCTTTGACGTACAGATGTGGTTAATGACTCAAATTAATCCTCAGAATACCAGCAATGTGATTTAATATGTATCAAACTTCTATCATTATCTGTTTAAAGTCGATTTGCCACTTACTGACAAGTGTTTTTTTCTCTGTAAAAACAAATTTTAACAGAATATTTTCACAAAGTAGTGCATAGAATACTTGTTTTTTGGGGGTGAAATATGGCTATTTTCAATAACTGTGCAGTGTGTTTTTTGAGGAATAATAGTTCTAACTTGTACACTAGTTAAATATGTGGTTCTTAATGTATCAGCGCAATGACAAACTTGAAATGCGCTAAAAATTCGTAGTTATATCTTACAGAATTTATTGAAAAAGAGACAAAACCCACTAAAATATCCTGAAATGTTTAAGCGAAGTTGAAATAGATGTAACAAAACATTGTTTCGTAAGTGCTTGCTTGCGATGAAGTTGAAAACACTTTTGTTTAGATGAAGGAACTTGTATATGTCAATGAAAAAATGACAGACTAAGGTATGGATTCTTCCTATATTTGCTTAAAATCATGAATTTGGCAACAAAAATATATCATCTCAACACATAATTTCTAAAAGAAAATAAGCTGGATGATGATCTACTTATTTTGTTTCTCTCACTACTAAAATTGCAATAATTTTCTAAGGATGCCAGTGGAGCAGGGGTATGCTGAACCAACCCACAGCGGGTAGATCGTGTGTTCGAATCTCACTGCCGGGGATGAAAAAAATATTTCCTATATTAAATGTAACTTAACTTAACTTAACAACCCACAGCGGGAAGATCGCGTGTTCGAATCTCACTACCGGGGGTGAAAAAATAATTTCCTATAGTAAATGTAACATAACTTAACTTTCAATTTCAAAAAGAAAACCAACTACATGAAAAAGTCTGATACAGAAATATTTATGTTTTTTTTAAAAAAGATTTTGTGTGCCCAATTGCACTCCTGTCCTCTTTGCTCCCATAGCCTCGGTCCAGGGTGCGCCACATCAAGTTAACATTGGTAATTCAAGGAATTTTCCTTTGTAAAGACCAAATTTAGTTTACTGCTTGATTGTACACGATTTAGACAAAAACTTGTGTCAGGGATTGAATTTGGACGAAAAAAGTTTCTGAAATCGGTTATTTGGAATGTTATTGACATCGATATTTCAAGGCATATAGCACGTATTTCCTCTTTTTATACCAATATGGCAATTTGTCTCTAACAGACTTGGGGCATTGTTTTTCCACCAAAACTATACCCTATTAGTGCAACAATATGTCTCTACACGACTTTCCCCCCATAGATTTCGTATTATTTCACATTTTCCCACAAGTCACGTGGAAACATACCACGTGACCTAAAAAAGACGAATTATCTTAAAGTTAATTTTTTGAAATATTCGATCAATTATCTTTCGTTTGAGTCCAATATGGCCAGTACATGACCTTTGGTGCGATTGCAGTATTCAATTGAACATTGGTAGTGCCTTTTTTGATAAGTAAAGGTCTAAAATGCCTGAAGGGAAAGGTTTAAACTTATAGACATTTTCAAGAACTATCGACACATTCAGTGTGCATGTGAAATGGAGGGGTCATTTCAAAGATAAAATCCTTCAAGAATGACATTACATATCTGTTTTCGCATTCGATAATTCTGTCCAAAAGAATATCCGATATCGAACAAAGGTCTCTTGCGGATTTTTCTTGTTTTCTTATCTCTCATGTAATACTTTGAGTATTTATAAAACAATTCACTTTGAATTGTACAAACCTTCAGGTAAAACATACTGCAATAAATTTATTTTCAAATACGTTTTTTCTACAATTTTTATGATTATTATTTTTTAATTGTGCGAATAGCGATTAACTTATGTTTTAAATGCAACTTTTATTCCTGTCTCGTGTAATTATTCCTTTTCTATAAAGTCATGTGTCCGTCGTCACGTGTACATTTGTTCGAAGTCTAGAGCTTGGATTTCCGAACAAACAATACATGGAGAGACAAGAGAGATTTGCTGTAGTTTGAATTATGTAATCTGGTTTTCAAGGTTGCAAGACAGCTTTCTATCTCACGGTATTTATTTTTTTTTGGTGCACGTTTTCCCTTGAGTATATATTGGAGACGTGTGCATAATTTGGTTGGCTTTTTTCATGTCTCCACAACTTAGTCATCATAAATTTATTGGGATGAGCATTCTTTACTAACTTTTTCAATTCAATGGGCCAATCCTATCATGATTTCCTTGATAGAGGGTTGCTGCTCACAAGGCAGCTATTAAACCAAGACTTCCAAGTGGTTAAGTTGAAATCACCCCTTCGTAAGTTTTACGGACGCCATCACGAGTTGTTTGACCGTTATGGAATATCCGTTTCACAGATGATAGCGGATATGTTCTAATGTCGTAACTACAATCCCGTCCCCCTTTTCCTGAATATGACCTACCGAATTTGACTTATTACCGGGTTTGTACTAACATGAGCAACACGACGGGTGCCACATGTGGAGCTGGTTCTGCTTACCCTTCCGGGGCACCTGAGATCACCCCCAGCTTTTGGTGGGGTTCGTGTTGCTCAGTCTTTAGTTTTCTATGTTGTGTTTTGTGTACTACTGTTTGTTTGTCTGTCGGTCTTTTTCTTTTTTAGCCATGGCGTTGTCAGTTTATTTTCGACTTATGAGTTTAAATGTCCTTCTGGTATCTTTCGCCTCTCTTTTTTTACCTGCCAATTTATGTCTCGACATGTTTACTATCCCCTCAAAACAAAGTTGCGGAAGGGATTTTGACAGGGAACTTTCCGTATCACACTTGGAGTCACTGTGTTTTTCAATCGAAATCTTCACCATATTTGATGTTCAAAATTAATTAAGGGAGGGCTAGAGACATATTCATTTTAAAGCTGTTATTGGTTGTTTATGTTTTGTCAAGTTTTCTAATTGGTGTTGGTGTTAGATATTTGGTTGTCTTTGTTTGATTTATTTACAGCTGGTTTAAATCTTTGGTTTAGGATAATTTCGATGGTTGAAAGCCATATGATTAGCTCTACATATTGTTTGGGAATACTTTTTTTCTGTGTGGTTCTGTCTCATTTATGTTTATCCCATATCTCATTTTATTCTAGTGGAACATTGTTGGTCGAGTGGTTTAAGTAAATAAGCCACTTTTTAATCATTTAATTGCAAATTTAGTTAGTTTGTTTGTCAACCTTCTACTGTTCTTATCACCTCAATATTAACATTTTTCTGCTCAGTGAATGGCAAACCAAATATACTTAAGGTTCTACGTACCCACAGGTCTAGTTGGTTGTGCATAAAGTATTTGTGTATGAATGGCGGTCCATAAATGGGTAATTCAAAAGCCTGGAGAAGGGCGAGACTAACCATTTAATATCCTATTGGAAAAAATCCTTTGTAATATAACACAAAATATTTGTAAGTTATTATACATGTTTTTTTTTAATGTTTATTTCTACAGTAGGATTTAATATTATCAGCTGGGTTATGGGAACCCCTATCAAACATTTTTTGATAAGGTCCTTAAATGAGTTTTGATATATTGTTTGGGTTCACAAGGAGATGCAATTAACTTGAAAGGTTTTTTCAAGGAGTAAATTTTTGAACTCCAAATCAGAGCATGTTCCATAAAAAATTTCATTAACTGCATTTAAGTGCATAAGAAAGGTGCATCCCTTCAGCATCCTTCAACGTCATCACTTGTTTATCATTAAAATTTCCTTTTCCAGTTTTTGTTTGGCTGATTATGGCACTGTTTGTTTCCCTGAAATTTTATCCTGTATTTGCTGTTATAAGATGCAAAAGAATTATCATTGAACCATTGATTGGCCTGTTCTACACTTCATTCATGTAAGTCTCTTCTGTCTTTTATAAGTTAACATACTTAATTTCAATTTTTATGATATGTTAGACGAAAGAATAATCTGAGGTAAGGATGATTGAGCTTATGTACTATTCTTTCATGCAATGGCTTTGTCCTACAAATGCATCTTAATGACAAATAGGTTGCTGTTCCAGCTTACAATATGATTTTTATGTTGAAAACAATACATTCACCGTCAATCAATGAATTAGGCTTTGTCATTTTATTTAGAAAACCTACATATAAGTCAACAAATATCAAGATTGATCCTAAAGAATCACAAATGAAAATGAAATGACCGAAATGACCGAAAAATACATAGACAACAGAGAAATATTGAATACAAAGAAATATGAAAAAAATATCAAATGAACAACGCGGTTCTACTTGAAGGTCTTCAACTATGAACGGAAAAGTAAAAACATTGCATCTCTAAAGATAGAATCGTTTTCATAACAGCGTAGACAACCGTAAAACTTTTGTTGGTAATAATACTGAATAATTTACCTTTAACTTGTTTGTCATTGGCTATCGATAACAATGATTTTACGCTCACTCCGTCTGTCAGAGGCCTTCCAGTGGGGATTTAAATAATGATCACTTGTTACACATTTCGATACATAAAATAAAACTTTTTTGTTTAATACCTTGATTTTTTTTACATAAATCGATTCATTCATTCAGATATTTATCAGTTTGTCTTGGCTATTCAAGTCCTACACGTCTCACGAATTTGGTCTTTTTCTTACAAAACTTATATTCTTGTGATGTATTCTTTTGTTGAAGAATGAATGTTGCCCCCTTTTTATTTGGTCGTATTTTTTGTGTCTCATTGACGTATAAGAAAACCGGACTACCCCTTTCTTCATATTTAAAAACATACGAGTGACATCAATACCAATTCATGACACAAAATAACTATGTTAAACTTACAACAGAAGAAATATAATGAACATCGCTTTTATTGTCTACTTAATATCGAAGTCAGAATGTGGTCTTTGTAGAGATGTTGTAAATTAATCAAAAACAACAAAAAACAAAATAATCTGAATGTTTATATTGAAAAAAGTAACGTTGTGTAAATCATTACAATTATTTTTATTTCAAATGAATATCAAGCTGTTGCATTTTTCCGCTGAGACAACAACCCGACCAAATAGTAAACAAAACAGCCGCAGGCCACCAATGGGTCTTTACCAAAGCGAGAAAATCCCGCACCCGAAGGCGCACTTGAGCTGGCCCTTTAACAAAAATATGTACTAGTTCAGTGAAAATGGACGTCACACTGAACTCCTAAACAAATAAACGAACTAAAATTAAAAAAACATACAAAATGAAGACTAACAAAGGCCAGAGGCTCCTTCCTGACTTGGGACAGGAGCAAAAAATGCGGCGGGGTTAAACATGTTTATTGAGATCTCAACCCTCCCCTATACCTCTAGCCTATGTAGATTAAACAAACACACAGCAATACACCGCTACATATTGTGCCAAAGTCGGGCTGGGGAGGGTGCATGTTATACTGATTTAACCCACTGGATTGTGTGCCTGCGCCAAGTCTAGCCAGGGAGGGATTGCTGGATTAGCCCACTAAATTTTGAGCCAAACGTCCGGCTATCCGGGTTTTGTATTGTTCATTGTTGATTAAACGTCTATTTTACTATCTATGGACAGGACTCGATGGTCTTTGTTGTTGTGGTCTCTTAATTCTCCTACCTTTTATCTTTTTATGTATTATTGTCGTATAACAGATCTAAAGCCGTTTAATTACGAAACTATCTGCAATATATTTAATAGTCCAAAACATGCATGACAAATTTGACACTAGACGTTACGCAAACAAAAATCAATACATCAATGTATATAAAGTCACAATTAATACAACTTTATATAAAAATAAGGAGATGTGGTATGATTGCTAATAAGACAACTATCCACCAAAGTTCAAATGAAGTGGATGTAAGCAATTATAGGCAACCGTACGGCCTTCAACAATGAGAAAAACCCATACCGTATAGTCAGCTACAACAGTCCCCGACATGAAAAATATGAAACAATTCAATTGAGAAAACCAACGGCCTTTTCTACAACAAAACAATTAACGAAAAACAAATTTTCTGCTCTTTGGTCGGATTGTTGTCTCTTTGATACATTCCCCGTTTCAATTCTCAATTTTGTTATAGATATAACTGCATATAAAAATAAGAATACGTGATGTGATAGACAATCAGACAAATCCTTCCAGTGGTCAACAGACGTTAGCAATATAGGTCACCGTACGACCTTCAACAATAAGCAAAACATACACTATATAGCATGAAAGCTTCAAATGGCCTTGTCATGACAAACACGATAGTTGAGTGGATGCAGAACAAAGCGAGTGAAAAAAACACGGATACCGCATGGAAACTGGCAAATGGTCCGCAATGTTACTTTGGTCAACTCACTTACTTGAAATTAAAGACCTGGCGAATTTAAGTCCTTATCTATGGCTGAGATGTATGTTTAAAAAAAAGGAAAATCAAGGTTTGTTTGGACAATTTTATAATGCAAGTCTTGGTTTTAAATTATTTACGAGTAAGCTTAACGAGTCAATAACAAATAATCACTCCCAGAAAGACGGGAAAATCCATTAACAAAAGAAAAAAAGAATATACGAACTACAGTGCACAGTATATTATATACATATTTTATTTGCGATCATAAAATGTACGAAGTCGTCCATTACTATGTAAATTGGGTCGATTAAAAAAAAAGCTGAATATGTTTCTGTTGACAAGGGTTTTTCACAAGTATAGTAGTTAGCAGAAAAGTTCACCAAACTATACATTTTACCTATTCAAAAACGTAAATGCAAATTTCACAAGGCTTGATCCAAATAGCTTTTTTATTGTCTAATAACTTGCAAGTACGAAAAAGACAGGACAGAAGTATATTTTGTCTATATGTTTTGTGTTTATAGATATAAGAAGATGTGGTATGAGTGCCAATGAGACAACTCTCCATCCAAGTCAAAATTTATAAAAGTAAACCATTTGCACACTTTTTAAAGTTGATCATGCATTCGTTTTAAAATAAAATTTTGACCAGATAAAAGTTAAAAGATGACATAATTGAACAACCGCAATTGTTAAATCGCTTTGACGTCCGAAAAAAAAGATAATAATCAACACATGCATATTGTTTAACATTTCACAGTGGTATCATACTTTAACTTTGTTTCAACCTGTTTATTTACTTTTGACCTTAGTTATTTATCCCTTATAATTTTTATTAACTATGTATTTGCATTCAGGTATCACAGATCAAAGTTATTCGTTCATTGTGTGTTAATTTACGTTTTTTGATTGAGTTATGCCTTCCAATTGATATTTTATAGTGTGTCTTTCTATGTTGTGATGTTATACTATTGTTTCAGAAAAAGGGAGAAGGTTTGGTACCATTAAAACGTTTAATCCCGCTGCAAATGTTTGCACCTGTCCTAAGTCAGGAATCTGATGTACAGTAGTTGTCGTCTGTTTATGTAGTTCAAACGTGTTTCTCGTTTCTCGTTTTTATATAGATTAGACCGTTGGTTTTCCCGTTTGAATGGTTTTACACTAGTAATTTTTGGGGCCCTTTATAGCTTGCTGTTCGGTGTGAGCCAATGCTCCGTGTTGAAGGCCGTATCTGGACCTATAATGGTTTACTTTTATAAATTGTTACTTGGATGGAGAATTGTCTCATTGGCACTCATACCACATCTTCCTATACCTATTGTAACTTTTAAAGCCAATTAAATCCTTTTTTTGCTGAAAGAACGTGCGATATCATAAAAATTGATTATCAAAACATAACAAAAACACAAGTAAAGAACGTTTAAGTATTCGATATAAATGAAAACACAAAGGTTATTCCTGATTAGTTTTTCGAATTATTTTATTTATGCGTTGAGACCCTTTGGTGACCCCACAGTTTAAATGTCTATAATAAATACGTCGTGAATAGTGGGCGTTACAGACGAACGTTCACCTAATCTGACCCAGTCAATGGGATATTTTAGCGCGCCAATCAATGGTCTCGTCTACACTGGTATGCACATGATTCTAGAGAAAATGTAATAATAAGACTGCAAGAATGTAATTTTGCAACATCATCAATATCTAATTACTTGTATTTTTTTATCCTGCATACGGATAGAACTGGGATATACATATATGAGAACCGTAACTTCTAAAGACAGAAGACAGGGTTGCATTCGTTTGGTATTGCTTTACGTACGAAGAATGATAATGCTCTCTAAGCGTGACATAAGAATTGAAACTACTATTGTTTCAGAAAAAGGGAGAAGGTTTGGTACCATTAAAACGTTTAATCCCGCTGCAAATGTTTGCACCTGTCCTAAGTCAGGAATCTGATGTACAGTAGTTGTCGTCTGTTTATGTAGTTCAAACGTGTTTCTCGTTTCTCGTTTTTATATAGATTAGACCGTTGGTTTTCCCGTTTGAATGGTTTTACACTAGTAATTTTTGGGGCCCTTTATAGCTTGCTGTTCGGTGTGAGCCAATGCTCCGTGTTGAAGGCCGTATCTGGACCTATAATGGTTTACTTTTATAAATTGTTACTTGGATGGAGAATTGTCTCATTGGCACTCATACCACATCTTCCTATATCTATTGTAACTTTTTAAGCCAATTAAATCCTTTTTTTGCTGAAAGAACGTGCGATATCATAAAAATTGATTATCAAAACATAACAAAAACACAAGTAAAGAACGTTTAAGTATTCGATATAAATGAAAACACAAAGGTTATTCCTGATTAGTTTTTCGAATTATTTTATTTATGCGTTGAGACCCTTTGGTGACCCCACAGTTTAAATGTCTATAATAAATACGTCGTGAATAGTGGGCGTTACAGACGAACGTTCACCTAATCTGACCCAGTCAATGGGATATTTTAGCGCGCCAATCAATGGTCTCGTCTACACTGGTATGCACATGATTCTA